TGATGTATTCATGTGCTTCCTGTCCCAGGCCCCCCCGGCACAGGAAAGACCACCAGCATCTTGTGTTTGGCCCGGGCCCTGCTGGGAGCGTCGATGAAGGAAGCCGTGCTGGAGCTCAACGCTTCCAACGAGCGGTGAGACTGACTGACTGACTGTGTGTGTGTGTGTGTGTGTGTGTGTGAGGAAACGTTCTGTCTGTGACGTTGCTGTTGTGTCCTCAGAGGAATCGACGTGGTGAGGAATAAAATCAAGATGTTTGCTCAGCAGAAAGTCACGCTGCCCAAAGGACGACACAAGATCATCATCCTGGACGAGGCCGACAGGTGAGTCCATCACCTCCTCACTTATTTATCTGTGTGTCCTCGTCCTTAAACCCTAACGTCTCAGCCCCTCCCTCCCTGCAGCATGACTGACGGAGCTCAGCAGGCTCTCAGGAGGATCATGGAGATCTATTCCAAGACGACGCGCTTCGCTCTCGCCTGCAACGCCTCAGATAAGATCATCGAGCCGATCCAGTCCCGCTGTGCGGTGCTGCGTTACTCCAAGCTGACCGACGGACAGATCCTCGCCCGCCTGCAGGAGGTGGTGGAGAAAGAGCGTCTGTCTGTGTCTGACGACGGGCTGGAGGCCGTCATCTTCACCGCCCAGGGAGACATGAGACAGGTGAGAGGAGGAGTCCAGAGTCTGAAGCTTGGCTCAGAGGCACGTGGTCGTTTCTCCACTGACTCCCCCTCCTGTGTTTTCATTGGTCCCAGGCGTTGAACAACCTGCAGTCGACCAACTCCGGCTTCGGCTACATCAACAGTGAGAACGTGTTCAAGGTGTGTGACGAGCCTCACCCTCTGCTGGTGAAAAGCATGCTGGGACACTGCGTGGAGGGGAAGATCGACGAGGCCTACAAGGTGGTGGAGCAGCTGTGGGCGCTGGGCTACTCCCCAGAGGACATCATCGGAAACATCTTCAGGGTCTGCAAGACCTTGCAAATGGCCGAGTACCTCAAACTGGAGTTTATCAAGGTGAGACGGAGCTCCGCCCCCTGAGAGTTTTAGCTTTTTAGAAATAACTGAGATCCTGAGCATCGAGACTCCGCCCACACTTACACACCTGAAAACTATCACTTGACTGTTCACGCCCACTGGGCATGTGATGTAAACAGGAAGTAGGTTGTCTCCTCTGCAGCTGGTTGCTTAGTAACAGAAACTCCTCTGAAGGAGGAAGTGATGATGAGAAGTGAGAGCAGGACGAGGTGGAACTGTTACTGACAGGAAGTGTTAGCGACGCTTGGTAGTCGAGTCATGTGACTGATGAGAACCAATCAGGAAGAGAAGTGGGCGTCATCGTTTGTTAAAGTTTCTGTTCAGATTAAAAAACAACCGCAGAGTTTTCAAACTGAACCGAGATCAGTTTTCACAAGTCTCTGATTCAGAGGCTGGAGTCGTGTGGACGCCTGACGTTACCATAGAAACAGTGATGAGTTATAAATCACACAGTGGGTGTGGCTTCAGACTCCGAGCGTCTCACCTCTGTTCTGTTTGCTTCCTGCAGGAGATCGGTTACACTCACATGCGAGTGGCTGAAGGTGTGAACTCTCTGCTGCAGATGGCCGGACTCCTCGGACGACTCTGCAGCAAGACGACGACGCCCCCTGCCAGCTGAACCCCCCCTCCCACACACACACACACTCACACACACTCCCTCAGTGTTGGACTCTCTCCGTGCTCCCTCTCGTCTTTAATGCCGACAGTCGTGTTCGTCCTCAGAGACTTTGAACTTCACACTGATGATGGTTTCGTCTGACGCTGTTTCTCTGGAGGCAGAATAATGTAGAAAAACAATAAATCTTTTTTTCATTAGAGCCGACATGTTTTGTTTGGAGACGTTAAGTATTAAAGATTCATTAACTGTTTTATTTCATTTGAAAATAACAGCGAAGAAAAACTAAAATAAAGTATTTTTACACAAGTAACATCTGAAAACTCGTCTTTATTGATAATGAACTTTATTTGTCATTACAAACCTTGTTTACATTAAACATCTATTAAGTACAAACTTCAGTTTAACAACAGCTACTGGTGTTCAAATCTATAAAGTATTATTTGTAATAAATATTGAACAGTAACAAACGGTAGAATTACAGTTAGAATATATAGAACTAAACGTTTCCTCTCGTCTGCAGGAAACCGTTTGTGGGTTTAAACCAGGAAACCTGTTGTTGGTGCATTTCTTTCACACTCGTTAACGAGACTGAAGCCTCTCAAGTCGAGACCGAGCTTCAAGACTCCGAGCGACGGCTGTATCGACTCCTTCAAAGTGCAAAACGTCCCTGAAGCCAAACGACCGCTGATCAGCTGCAGCGTCACGTAGCTCACCGTCTGTACGACAATCAATAATCAGTGTCATCACTATCCAGTAAAACAGCACAATGTAGAAACCCCCTCCGCCCCAGCTGAACACCCACCCCCCCCACTGGCCCACGGAACAGTTGTCATGCCACAAGTGAACGACGAGCATGCTGTCGACAGGCCTGACGAGCGGAGCAGGAGCAAATAATAAAGATAGTGTACGTTAGAGAGGAGGTCAGAGGTCACCATGACGACGACAGCAGCAGAACAACAAACGTTTTAAATGAGTCTCGTCCAGTCTGACGTAAATCCACTGAACAGGAAGTGTCACTCTGAGGTCATGTGACGTGACGAAGTGTTTCAACACTTCAGTCACAGAACAAAGATTCAGTTTCTCTGAGAAAAAGAAGAACACGAATCACTGGTCTCAAGAGTTTAACTCAGGACTTCCCAAGTACTCAGTAGTAAACAAGTACTTTGTTTCGACATGAGTACTCAGCCCGTACTCATGGTACAGCATCAGACAGCAGTTGTTATATAATAGATTATTATTACGGCCACGTAGAAGAAAAAAAACGTAATATTCTGACTTTATTCTCTGAATTTTGACGCTTGGTTACGTGAATGTGATAAAACACAAATAATAATAAATAATGGAGATTTGTGTTTAATATTTCGTTCTTATTTGTACGTTGATGTTTTGCTGTTGTTAAAAATCGTCTCGTCATGTTCCTCTGCCTCATGAAGAGCAGCTGCTCTGAGTCACTGATAAAAAAACATTTTGGAGTCAAACATCCAGATGTTGGTGAAATTGTCCCTTCGGGTGTTTTTTCTTCATGTGAACTAACGGCACCGTGAACAACACTCATAACAAAATAAAGATCACAATCATATTAAGAATAAAACCGAAACTAAAGGAAGATAAGAGTTCAAGTGAACGTCTGACCTGAGGAAACCACTTTAAGAAACACAACACAACTGAATATAAATGTGAGCCGGCGGAACTCCATGTACAGTTACATCTACAGAATCACCATGGCAACCGCATCAGCATCCTAAAGATGACGTGACAACAGAGTCGACGTGGCTGCTGACTGACATCAGGTCTAAACTCCGTGAACTCACAGGGATGAAATCTGGAGCCGAGCGTCGTCGTCTCAACTATAAACAACGTTTGACCTTTTTGAGCGTTTTGATATCAGGAAGAACGTTTACGACTAAAACAGCAGAACTGTTGAGTTCAGGGGACGAGGAGGAGCAGGAGAACGGAGGAGTGAAGATGGAGAGATGAGCGGGAACAGTCCTACGACGTCATCTCGATGGTGTGCGGCACCGTGAGCTCGGAGGAGTTGATTCCGTCCGGAAGGGCGTTGGTGGTAGTGCGGCTCCGGACGCCGTCTGCGGAGCCGACACTGGAGGCCGAGTGAGTCCTGGAGCGAACCAGCCGGGTCATACCGGCTGTGGGCACTGGGGGGGGCAGAGACATGAATGAGATGAGTGTGAGTGTGTGTGT